ACCTATATAATAACATAAACATGTTTATATAATAACACAAGAGAAAGCGAAAAATGAATAAAACAATTGAAAAAGGAATTTATGTTTGTTCATGGGAGACTACATTGGCGTTCATTCCATCTGTTATTTGGCGTTGTCTTGGTAATTAACATAAATGCCAATAAATACATCGTTCAATTAAGTTATCAAAATGCTTGTATTATATTCGAATCTCAGTAGCAGTTCGCTAAGCATAAAAAAATATCTTCAAAATAATATCGGCATAAACAATAACATAGATGAATGCTGAAAGGCTCACAACACAATACTCATTGTTTTTACTGCTGTTTCTGTATTATAATTAATTAAATCTAAAATGTTAGCATTGTAAAAATAAGAACGAATGTTCAATAAAACTAAAGAGATGAATAGAATTCGAAACTTCGCTACTAATCATCTTATTTCTATCATCTTATTTTCTTTTCAGCAAAAGGGTGAGCGAAGTTTGTACCGCGTTGATTGTAATTTTAAGTATTTTTTAATGGCCTTTGAGGCTTCGTCAATGTTTTGCTTATGTGATAATACATGGTTTTCTCCTCTGAGGATGGAAGAAAATTTTGTGGCAGATTATTACCCACAATTCAGTGTTCTTTTTTCTCGGTATTAGATAGATTGTGTGTATGTTTTGCAGCCATGTGACTTTGTATGAAGACTTTAATTAGGAATAAGTTATAACCAGAAAACAACTATACTTGAATTGATTATGGCATTTTGGATAGATTTACACTGGGCCTTATTCAGAAACTTTGAAAGGTGTACAGTGAAAATTCTAGGAACTACGATGGTAGTACTACTGATCGTGTTTTCTTCTATGGTATTTGTTACTTATTGAAGTACCATATTTTTCAAATATTGTTTTTTCCAGCATCAAAAACAACTTGTTCAAAAGGAAACATAGTTGAACTTTATCTGTCGTCGTAGACTAGTTTACAATACTCCGTTTTATAAAACGAAGAGGAACGGCGTTCAGAATATGCCCAGCGAAGGGTGAAATTCAAAATTGCTCAACATTCTTTTGTCACTTGATATCATCAATATCCTATGCACAGGGAAAAAAATGCGCTGCGTCATCATATATTTTTTTCTCTTTCTCATTCCTTAGTTAACAACGTATTATCATTGTGCTGTTGATTGATATGATTTGCATTTTTCTTGACAGTTCGAATGATCATTTGTCTCATTATCTAACCATTTTAAACTGTAATCAATGAAAAAAGAAATAATGTGTGTTACAAGGACAAACCATCTATTGATAAAAACAAATGGTTGTTTTGCATCAAAACGATTGCTGTGTGAAGGCCTATCGAGATTTAATTTTTTGGATTTTTTTTTTTTGAGTAGAGAAAGAGAAACGTGACAGATCGGTATCCAAAATATAAGAATGCCGCACGAGATGTTCCTTTTTCTCTTTCTGAGGAAAAAAATAAATAAAATACTCGATGAACATATTTCTCAAATATATATGTGCATTTTTTTTCCTTATATTTTATAGTGAACCATCGATTTATTTCTGTTTGTTTTTCTTATGATTTGCAATCATTTTTCAGTGGAAAATTATAAACTGAACAATATCGTTCGATCAATTTGTTCAAGTATTCGAAAAAATTCTATGATTTTCAAACTTGTCTGTTTTATAAATAATGGAAATTTCAAATTTAATATTTGGCGCTGATTTTATTTTCTATTTATATGATTTGGACGAATAGAATTTAACACATTAGGTCAAATGCATATATTCCATAGAAAACTTCCACGTTCAAATATTTTTGATACGATTATTTGTTTTTTTATTGTTCAATGTGTCTGTCTAGATAATGAAAACATACTGTTCAAAGTCATAGAAAAACTCAATAGATTGATTGAGTAGCTTCGTTAATTTGTTAAGTAAATATGGTAGATTTATGTACGTTTGATAATCAAACACACAAATAATTTCGTTAGTTTATTCATGAAATGATTTAAAATAACATTCGTTTTTTCTATAATGATATTGTGAAAGCTATATATAAAAAATGCTTTGTTTTTCAAAAGGATAGATTTAATCGAAGGATTCTCAAGAATTTAAATCGTTCATCTTATATCTTGGTTGCTGTTGATTGTGAAGCCTTATTTAACTAGATTGTTCAAATAATAAATAAAAATGTTCTTACTTTTATTTACTAGACGAAGCTTTATATTCATTCTTGATTTCTTTTTTCTTTTAAATTAGACAATTTGTATTGAAATAGTACTTTCATATCGTAATACTATTCTATTGTTACAAGAAAAAAGAGTAATAGAAATGTTCTTAATGTTTTTGTTGTTTAGTAATAGGATCTTTAAGAATAAGTTGAAGTAATTTTGTTCTTCTTAACGTTTCTATTGGTGTTTTATTAAGATCTTGTTCCATATGACTTTGAGATAAAGTCATATATTGTCTTTGTAATTGTTGCAATTCTTCAAGAATAATTTCCATTCTTCGAGTTAAGATATCTAAATCATCTGAGCTTGTTTGAGATAAATATAATCTTGCATGTTCACGAGAAAGTATAGCATATTCTCTACGTAGACGTTTTATACGTGAATAACATTGACTATCTATAGTAGAAGCTGTTTGTGGACGACGTGTTGTAGAAGTTGTAATTGGACGACGAGTTGAACGCACTGGTGAAGCCGATGAAGGACGATTTGATGGTTTTTTATAATGATCAAGATAAAGAAGTGTATGTGGAGATAATTCGCTTTTATGAGGAGGATGAAGAAGATCAGCATATTCTTTAGATGATAAACATAGTTGACGATTATGATTTTTTAATAAAGCAATGACCTAAATTTAAAATAGAAAGATTTTCTTTTTTTTCTTTGTTTTTTTACTTTTGTTATTATTTTTTTCTCTCTCTTACTTTTTGTACATTTGATTTAACATTATGACTTGGTGATGTTGATTGTCCAAGTATAAACGGTACATTATTCATATCTAAATGATAATGTCTTCCTTCAGCATTTGTTGGTGATGTAAATGAATCACAACTACGATTGTCTTTAGATGATCGTTTCTTTTTACGTTTTGTTGGATGTTTTGATGATTGATGTTCATTTAATATTTGAAGAGCTCGTTTATGTTGATGTTGTAGACGACGAAAATTTCCTTCAGCTGCTTCAAGTTGCTCATCAATATTTTCTTGTGGATCTCGACGATACTTTGATGATCGAGAAAAACCACCTGTTATTTCATGCAAACTCAATTCAGCTTGCTAAATATCAAAAAAGAAAAAACCACAATTGACAAAAAAAAGTAAACATAAAGTTTTGTGACTAACTTCACGTTCATTTTCTAGAGTTTTTATTTTCAATGATAATGATTGTAATGATGTTAATAATTGATCACGATTAGATTCAGGTAATGTAACTGTTCTAGATAAATTATGTGATGGTCTTAATGGTTGGTGTGTTGAATTAATGAATGGTTTATTTGGTGGATATTCATAAAATGATAATTGAGAATTAAAACCTCCTATACTTCTAGCTGTCGTATTGAATGATTCGCACATTACAAAAACACTATTTTCGCTTTGTTCTCTCAAGTTTTTTATTAGAATAACACACATCACCACAAATACTTTTCTCTTTTTTTCTCTTTTTTTCCTGTACAGTAGGAGAAGAATGAGTTACCGAGACAACAATCATTCCCCGTTTCTATCCTCTCTTGTTAGCTATTACATCAATACAATTAGACGTTTAGAAGTAAAAAAAAAACAGTCAAGTTATTGAACAAAGACTGTTGTGCTCCGCCGTCGTTTTTTTTTCAAGTGCTTGCTCGTAAATAAACTGAGCTAGTCCAATTTTAAAGTGTACATGTAACGACATTCACTTGAAACTTTCACAGTTACATGTGAAAGAAAAAGAGAAATAACAACACTATAGGTTTAATCAGTGAATAGAGCTATCATAATTACATTCGACGTATCACCTTAAAACGAGCCATTACGTTTTCTAAATCAATGATTTTGAAAAGAAAATGAAAAATTCATCAGAGTAATGGCACTATATATTTGCTAATGAATGCTTTCTAAAGTTTAAAAAAATGAAAAGTCTACAAGGACATCGAATGTACTTTGTGATTGAATAAATGTTTAGGTAAAATGTCATACTAATATCGGATTAATAACGATAAAACAAAAACTATTAGTTCTTTCATATTAAGAGTAATAAAATAAATCAAAAATGATTAATCTACTAAAATCATCTTAATAATTATTAATTGCCAAAGGCCTTTTCTATTTTACTCATTATCAAAGTGTCCTTGTTATAGTTTTTAGACAAATTAAACAAACTATTTGGAACAATAACATCGATTTCGTACTTTTCATCAACAATAAATATGAATAAAAAAAATATAAATTAGTTCAAATATGATTAAAATAAAGTAAACATTCTCAAAGAAAATACCGAAATATAAAGTTATTTTCCATAATTAGCGTGAATTTACGGAAGAACAATAATTTTTTTTCTTCAAGAATTCAATGAAGCAAGGAAAGTACTGTTAAAATGACCTCACTGCGCGAATATACGTACATAGAAGATTTTATCTCCAAAGGAGGAAAATCAATGTAACAAAAGCTGTTCAAATTGCAAAAAGACAGGCATAATTTCATATAACATATGTACTCAGCGATTTTGTTCGACATACATTAGTGAACGTTATCATAAAGAAATAGCTAATCGTGGTCTATAGTAGATTAAGTAATTGATATTAAATTAAACAATTATTTGAAAGAATGACGAAACACTAAGAAGAAGATGATGACTATTTTGAATAAGATATTGAAAAATTAAGTAAAAAAATTCGAACGCATTCAAATGAATCTTGACTTTCATTTATCTAATATTCGAATTAATGTGATATCAATTGATTGATCCATAATAATTCAAGTCGTCATGAGAACATCACTATGTTATATTCATCAAGAGCAAAATGAATTGTTTGTTCGTAGAACAGTTTTAATAATAATTAGATCATCAAGTTTAATTCAATAGGTTTTATAGAAATACAAAATCAAAAATGAGAACTGATTTATAAAGCTACGTGAAACGAATTCCATCTGAAGATATGTCACTGATATTGTGATATCAATATCCACCATTAATAGTTATTCATTTGTCAGCAACAGTATTTATTTCATGAATATACAATAACCAGGTGGAATGCGGGAGAGAATGTATGGATGGTTGATAAAACTGCACTCCTGTTAACATTAATCAACACACATCATATTCCATGTACTAAATATATGATCTAGCTAGAGGGTAAAAATATGCAAGCTTGCCGAATTTCTTCACTAGATCTATCTTTGACTGTTGAGACTTATATTGTTATGACTTGCATCTTCTTCAAATGAGATTATAAGAGTTTTCTCATTATCTATATGATCATACTCATATTTAATTTCTTCTTCTGTTCTCTTATTGTTAGTCATGTGTCATAAATTTTTCTTTTCTGTCATATATGTACATGTGATGGATATTTTCCTTACTTTCTAATCTTGTTTCTTTAAACTTATTTTATGAATCTTCTTTTCTTCTTCATAATCTATATGATTTTTCATCGAATGGCTTTTCATCTTCTGTTATCGCCATGTATATAGTCGTTAGATTGTTGCGAAGAGTTTCGATATATATATATATATATACAAAAATAAACTACAAGTGGGATTAAGATTTCACATACATATTTTCAGAAGGATCAGAATAGTAAAGCTAATAGTCTTTTTTACCTGAAAACTACATTGGTTCGTCTGTAAGAAGGTATTTCACAATTAATTGCCTGGACAAAATTCTCAACTATTAATACCGAAATATATCGTCTAGCTTTTAATTAAGAAAATCAATATTTATATCGTTCGAATGATTACTGACATGAAACACTCTAAAAGTCACAGATGAGAAAGTTAAGCTATTTTTGACATGACTCGATTTGATTTCGAATTTTTTTTTGATGAGAGATAAGGACTTGAATTGATTTGTGACTTGATCATATAAAAATAGGTCACGTCAAGGTCAAGAAAACGTATATAAATATAGGTGTTTCGTGCAGTTCAATTTTGCTTTCTAATTTAATTTGAGAAAAAAGAAATCGAGTATAGTACATATGTTCATAGAGTAACTTCACATTGAAATAAAATAAATGATTTGGAAATACGTAGAGAGATCTTTTTCAATTTTTATTGATCATTTTCATTTCCCAATGATTTATTTAATGAAAATACATTGATTTGATTTCTTTGTATTATAATAATACAATTAGTAAATACTCTAATAAACTGTAGTTAACTCTAATATCAATCAAGAAAATAATTCTTTCGGCTTGTCTTCATCTCGAGATGACATCTAAATACAAGTAATAGGTCTAATCACTTCAGCAATTGCTATTTTGTCTTCTTCATCAAGTTTAACGTTACCTAGAACTGCTCATGATAAATTCTTTAAAAATCTTCAATATAATAAAGAAAAAAAACAGATGATCTACTAAATGTTTATTATATGAAAAGCCAAACAAAGAATTTTTGATATGTTCAGCGTTACTTAAAATTTTACTCAACATATTCGAGATTTTCATAAACAAGCTTTGGAAATATGATTACATGAGTTTATAATTGTTTCTCTAGAAAAACAAATAAATAAAATTACAAATCATTTCCAAAGAAAGAAACAAATTGTGCAATACAATGTTCAATATATAATACAAATCATTGTCAATAGGTCGACTTGTTCTAGAGTGTTGTCACTGATTCAATTGTTATATTGAGTTTACCAATATGAATGATAGAATGGTCAGCATCCATTAGCTTCATGAAAGCCATTGATCTTAAATTTAGCATTATGCATCATCGAACGATGATTCCTTATTTATACGAAAAAAATGCTTAATCAATTAAAAGCTCTTTGTTCAACAGTTTTATCTTTGAAAGTTTGGAATGACAAGTGGTTGAAATCCTTTTGCGTCATAATTGGCATAATTTTTTTTAATAGAAATAATTCATAATTTTACTCTGATTTGAGTCGAAAAATCGTTGACATGTCCATCTCGGCTGGAAACCTTCTTTTTTTGTGTACATTTTCAAAAACAATGTTGAATATGGTTAGTTTTTATTGTATACAATCGATCACAACTTAACAGATAACTTCCAGACTCATATTTTTTTCTTAATATCAAAATAAAATAATTCTTGAAAAAAAAATGAAAGTTCTTTTAATAGATATCTAATTGGTTGAAAACAATAGAGAAATATTAAATCTAGATCTTATGAAGTATTTCTTAGAAACAATAGAATTTGTCATCAAGTGTAATTTTAATAGTGCATTGCGTGATAGCTTTTTTTGTGGAAAGAATATGTAAAAAAAAAAATTGTTAACATGTAATTATTCTAGCATCTGCAACAATTATTAGTTGTTTATTTATAATTCATTAAAAGTAAGTAATATGATAATAACGAATTATTCAATGTTAGTTTTATTAACCTATATGAATGATTTTAAAAATAAACAAAGAAAATAATTCAAGTATAGACTTTCGTTTTCTTTTCTTTTTTTTAATGTTTACTTTTTAATTTCATTGGAATTAATGAAAAACATATTTCATTTATTTATTGTAAATGCTATAAATAACTTTTGTAAGACAAGTAAACATAATCAAGTTGAATGATTTTTATCTTCTTTAGACAATACAAATGGGAAATGTCTTCCGTTTCATGAACGATGATATTAAATCGAAGAAACTAAGCTGTTTCTTCTTCATGAACAAATTATATTCGGTTTGGTCTCTAGCTGCCGCTTGTCGTTGTCAGTTGGAATGACAAATTAGTCGCATTTGTAGAGAGAAGAAAAAAAATCGAGAGAGAAAGAGTAGAGAAAATATAGAACTAGAAGGCGACAACAACATAATTCTCAATTTCTTCTCATTTTCTATGTGGTATTTCGATAAGCCATTTTCTTTTTTCATCATGTATATCAAGCAAACGTAAAGATCAAAGGATTTTTCTTGGTAAGAAGACGATTTGTCTGTTAAAAATAGATTTATATATTTATATATATATAGAGATAAGCATGTATATAAAGAAATTCTAATAAGCAACATTGTATCTCGTATTGCCTTTAGGGCATTTGAATGATCACGATTCGTCTATAAATGTAGTAGGAGAAGAAAATCTTCCACATAATTTCATCTTCATTTATTTTATTCCCTATTTTCGCATTACTATAGGATAGAAAATGACAGGCTATGATCATCAACAGCTATGTATTGGCTAGATTTTTTTTTGATGGACTATTTAGTGAGAGATAGAAGCTTTTCTAAAACAAAAAAAAATATTCAATATTAAATAATAGCATAGAAATAAAACAAGGTGGATTGTATTTAATAATGTTTTAGATTAATGTTAACAATGCCATTTTAACCGTGAAAATACAAATTAGAAGAAGTAAAAATGATACCCTGAAGAATAAATTCTTATCAACGTTTGCTGATTTTTTTTCAGATATAAAGAGTACATTTTTTTGTTCCATTTATCAAAAGAAATGCTCGTCGATTCTTTAACATGGTACGACAAGCATCATTTATTGTTTTTATTCTTATAACAACTTTATTCGTGCTTTTCGACAAAGCCAATTGTAAATCCGGTGGTGGCCATTATTCATCACAACGTTCGCTTGGCACTGGATCGTCTGGCGGATATGGTATGTCCGTTGGAAATCAACAGAATTTTTGGGGTAATTCATGGTTCCCTCAGGATATGAATGCTTGGTATGATTACGGTAAGTGGGTATTACTATTCATTCTCATTATAATGGAATATATATGTATATATAAATTATTATTCATATTTACCTTAGAAAAACGAATGAAAAAATAAATGTATCTATGTAGCAGATTATATTCCTTTTGCAAATATTATCATATGAAGTGTTATTATGTTTGATCGCTTATTCTTCTACCAAGATATGATCGTGACTTCTATGTTTCTCTTGATGTTTCTCATGAGAATCATTAACTAGTAGTTTATAGTAATGATTGTGATGGTTTTTTTTCTTACATTAGTTTGCTTTTTCAAACAAACAGGAAAAAGAGTATTGTTCGCTCTATTCTTTATGCTCTCTTTCATCTAGTTAGTTCTTTTTTGTTTCTCTCTTTTTATAAGAGCAAAAATATCTATTTTCTTCTACATTAATAATGTCAACAAGGAACAAATAAATGCTAGTTTATTACTCAAAAATACCATGTTAATATTCGTCATATTTCTAATTTCAATAAATTTTTCTGAATTTTCTTGTCAACTTGTTTTTACCAGTTTAAAAGTACCTAATAAAGATCATTCAACACTTTCTTCTTCAAATTCCCAACATTCACAATCTATGATAAATTATTATAATCATCCATATTATCATATAGCTCTTAATGACTCGGATTCAATTCCTGATGAACAACGTTTAATGGCACAACTATTAAGAAATTATGATCCATCAGCAAGACCTGTATATAATGCATCAAATACAGTCAATGTTGCTTTTGGCATTGCTTTGGCTCAACTAAGCGATATGGTATGTCATCATAAAATATACTGATTAATAAACCGATCAGTTGGAACTTGACGAATCTATTCAAAGATTATGCAAATAAAATCTAAAGAAGAAGAATATATTCATTTAAGATGATAAAAAAAAAGATTTTTTTTTTTATATATCAAAGAGAAAAAAAAAGCATCTCTACATTAGACACTATTGTAATCATAACTTGACTACCTTTTCTCATATGAAATCTAATCCTGCTTATATTTAATTAAATCTTATTTTGTTTCGGATGTCTTCAAAGAATAGATTAAACAAAAAATAAATACGAAATATATGAATAAATAATCAAATTATTAATTAGAATTTCTTATTGAATAAATAATTGATATTTCTATTTAAGGATGAAAAAAATCAAGTATTAACTACAAATATATGGCTTGAACAGGCTAGTTCAAATTTCTTTAGAAGTTAAAGAGATTTTTTTCCTAATGAAAAAAAATTATATATATATATATAGGAATGGTATGATGAACGTTTAGTATGGAATGCATCTGATTTTAATGGTTTAGTAACTCTTCGTTTACCATGTTCAAAAATTTGGTTACCAGATATTGTTTTATATAATTCAGCTGATGATTATACACAAGGTTATTATCAAAGTAAAGCTATGGTCGATAGTAATGGACATGTTTTTTGGCCACCACCAGCTAAATTTCGATCATCATGTAAAATTGATGTGACTTTTTTCCCATTTGATGGTAAAATTATTTTTTATTTAAGTAAACAAAAAATTTTTGTTTTTATTTTTTGTTTTATTAAAAAAAAAGATCAATTATGTAAACTAAAATTTGGTTCATGGACATACGATGCAGCTCAAGTTAATTTAACTAAACGACGTGATCATGTTGATATGACAAATTATATACGTTCGGGTGAATGGCATATTGTTCATATCGAAATAAAGCGTAATGATGTTACTTATCCATGTTGTCCCGAAATCTATTATCCTGATGTAACAATTTATGGTAAATTGAAGTTTTCAAAAAAAAAAAAAAATATTTTTTTGTTCTAAAAAAGAATAATGATAATAATTTAGTTCATATCCGTCGTCGTGTATTATATTATCTATTTAATATAATATTTCCTTGTATATGGCTTTCAATTCTTTCATTGCTCGGATTTTGGCTTCCACCAGATTCGGGAGAAAAGATTACACTTGGTATAACTGTACTTCTTGCTTTTTCTGTTTTTATGTTATTAATTGCTGAATCAATGCCAGCAACAAGTGAAATGGTTCCACTTATAGAGATCTATTTAACCATTGTTATGGCACTTACATCATTATCAATTGTACTTACTGTTTATGTACTTCAGTTACATCATTCGGGTCCTGTTGTTATTCCTATTCCATATTCATTTAAATATTCATTAGTTCGACATGTAGCACCTGTGATTGGAATGAAAAAAATTGTTGAAATTTATGCACAAGAACATCATTTAATTGAAACAGATGAAGTTTATCGATGTTTTGCTAAACCACAAACAACACCAATCGATAGTCCATTAATTAAAAATAAAAAGAATGTTATTTTTGAAAAAAAGAATATCAAACATCGACAAAGTACGTATAATTATTTTCATGAATTAGAAATACTTGATGTATATTAAAAGTAATGGCAGTAGCACTCCAATACCTTATGATAGGTTTAAGGAATATTTTATAACATTTCATCATTCTTCAGTTCGCATAATAATATTAGAATTTTGATCAAAACTGTTTACTTCTGATTTTCATTGGATAAAGAAGACTTTCGTTTCTACATTAAAGTTTGTACTGCACTGTATGTACAAGCGAGGATTATTCATGATGAACTATATTTTGTTTTCAGCCGACAGACTTTATCTATCAGAACAGTCAAAAGATGAGATGCAGAATTTCATGAAGAACAACTTGCTGGACCTATAATTGAAATCAGATCTTTTATGATCATCCTCAGGGTCAATTGTTTCAATGTACAACGAGTGATAATCTTTTTAAGTTCATCTGTAATATAATAATCATTGTTAATAAAGCAATCGATCTTTTCAAATGTTGTTTTGTTACGATTCTGTCAGATCGTATTTCATCTCAAACATCTTCTCGATCTTCAAGAAACCATATATATCATCTTTTAATTATTCTCAGAGATAGAGCCTAGCTGACAATCATAAAATAAAGTTGATTATGAATAAATTTCACTTGAATATTATATAGTACAGTACAGAATTTAAAGTAGCAGTGAAAGTTTTTCGTATTCATTGAAAATCAGAGATGAACAACTTTGATCGAAATTCTAATATTATCAATCATATCAATTGCATAATAATGAAACATTATTGAATCATAGAATACTGTTAAGAATATCAGTATATATATATACATAACAGAATTTTCCTCAAGCCTTCTAATTAGATATTATCGTGTTACTGCCACTACTTTTGATATGCCCTAAGTACATAGCAGATTAACATGGATATTTTTTTTTTATAAAGCAATAGTAAATTGTGACAGAGAATTTTAATAATAACATGGCAGCTCTGTCGTTAAATGACAATATCTACCTTCTATTTTGGAAATCTAATAGGAAATGATGTAGAATAAGACATAATTTAGTGTGCATCTATCCGTTTCTTGAACGTTTTCACTATAGAATTGTCTAGAATTAATCACTTGGAGATTTTTCTATGAATCCGGTTATGTCTTTTATCATTCAATGGAAGCATTGATGCTGAGGATGGGTACCTAATTGAGGATAAGAATACGAGAACAACATTGAGAATAGTAAACTAGTTGAGAATGAGAACTCATTCGTCAGAACTATGACTCTCTTTTATTACATTACAAAGGTATCATATACTATGAATAGATAAATTCACTAGTCTAAATCCTAATAGGCTCTCTTTCATTTATATCGTTATTTTCTAATTTATTTCATCTGACATCTTTCGTTTTTGTCATTCTCAGATACATTCTCAATTAATACTATAAAAAAAAAAAGAATAAATGTAATAGTTTATCTGTCTTATTTAAAAGAATATATAGCTGCAATAAGATCTATTGTTATCTATTTCTGAGCAATAGAGGAAATTTTCAACTTTGATAATATTCATTCTAGTTTTAAGTCTTCACGAGAGAGACATTTTAGACATGCGAATGCAAATCATAATATTATTTGTATTTGAAGAAACTTTTACGAAAAATAATATTCATAGAAATAAATCAATAAAATATTTAATTTTATTATAAACTTCTTTTCAGACGATTCTTATCGAAAAGAACCTCAATATAATGATAAAAATAATGATGATGATGACGATGATGAGGATGATGATGATAAAGAAATAATGAAACGATTCTTAGCCAATTCATCATCATGTAATGGTGATATTCGTTCAATATCACCATGTAATAAACGTTCTTCTAATCAACATCATCATCGTTCTCGTTCACGTGTTCCTCAAATAGTTCTTATCCCTCAACAATCTCATCCATTATCATTATCACCAAGAAATCTTAATAAAAATACACAATATGAATATTTTAATTCTAATATGTCTTTACTTGAAAAACATTTAAAACATTTAATGGATAAACAAAAACATGAAGAAGACAGAAATGAAATAATTAATGAATGGAAATTAATGGCACTTATTATGGATAGATTATTATTTTGGCTTTTTGCAAGTTTAACTATTTTAAGTACAGTTTTATGTTTAATCATAATTCCATGTTTGAAAAACGCTGGATATATATCAGCATTAGCTAAAGATTTAATTATGGATTATAAACCAACAGAAACATTAAGAAATATTGTTGAAGAACAAATAAAAACAAATCTTACAGGAACATTACGATGAGAAGAAAAAAAACCTAATGTTTTTTTTAATTTGCATACTTCTACGAAGAAAAAAACAATCGATTTTTATTTTGTTTTACTATGTCATCAATCAATAAGACATAGCTGTAATCTCTTTTTTTTAATTCTTTTTTTTCACAATATTTGTTTGTTGGACATCTATTGTAATGAAGTTTTTCTATAATTTTTCTTTCGTTTTAATCATAATGGGTAAAATCAATGTCATTTGTTTGTGTAAATAAATTGAATCTATTTCATACTTTAATTATTTATTCAACTAAATCAACTAATCCTTACATGACTACTTGAGATTAACACAGATCCCAACCTACGCCATTATACTGTTATAAGTAGACAATATATCAGATGAAATTGCTCATCTCTTGGATATGCTTTCAGTCCGACTAGTAGATTATACTGATATTATCTAACAGTTACGTTCAACTATCATCTATGTGAATGGGCCATTCAGAAATGCATGTGAACGTTTGTTGAATATCTGAGGTTCACTGTAATGTTGAGTATTTAATTGAACTATGTCCTTTTAATTATGGGTTGAGGAGGCTCAGTACAGTATACTGGAAATATTAGTCAATCATACGTAGCGATTCTTACGAGAGAGAGCAATTCGAATTTTATATGATTAAGAATAGTGATGCATGATTTCAAACTACTTGAAAATAGAGAATGAAAAGATGATGAAAAAAGACTAGATAACTGTAGTACCAACAACAACATGCAAATGAATGATATTTTTTATGGAATACTTTCATAGATAGTCAACCATAAACAACACAAGATTCTCAAAAGATTTTTTCATCTGTAGAGCTCGTTGCATTGATCACTTTTATAGAAAAAAATTATTTCAATGTACTCAACAACTCATGGTGTTAGGACCAAAATACTCAAAAACTTCGACTATTTCTGATTGCTACTGAATGATAGTTGACGTTTTCAACTATTTTGACTCTAGTACCATGATTTATGGAGTACATTTGAATATTTGGTTTTATCAGAATGATCAGCACAACGAGTTCTACAACGTTCTACAGACGAAAAAACTCTTTTGAGAGCCTTGCGTTTTTTACGGTTGACTATCCATGGACGTATCTATCAAAAATACGATTCGCAAGCATTTTGTCGGCGGTAGATAGTTTAAAGTAACTTCTCTTTTGTTTGTTCTTCTAGTATACTCTACAGACAATAGCAGACATTAGCCAGAGACTATCACAGATCGTATACCAATAACGTTTCGTTCTAATAGTTGAACTATTTCCTTATTGTACTTCCAGAGTATTAAATCAAAAGATAGTGAAGAGATGTGAGGATATGATAAATTCATATTTCCAGAAAATTCAAATTTCTGCATATTATTATCCAATGAATGATACCAGCTAAAGAATACTGCTGCAAATATCCTGACTTAATGTCTATGGCGCATAGCTGAAATTGATTTTTATAGATTCAATTGAAGAGTTACAACTCATAGTCTTATGTTGGGTTGAGTCAGAAAAATCATTTTAATATGAAAAGTATATAGAAATAAAGTGTATATCTTTGAGGATTGGTTAGGTTAGGAAGGGTATCTGTAGACGAAGACAAAAGCTGCAGCTACATCAATACTCTCACCGAAACCTGTATATCAATTTTATCCTTTCCTTTTATTTGCATAGTTGTGAGCTAACGACTATTTTATTTCAAATATATTTTAGAATTCAACAAGAAATTAAAACAACTACTTTATAGCATCAATCATTAATGCTAATATTCAAGTTACTAAGCGAAGCATTTGAGAATAGTTAACAGTGAAAGAATCAATTTCCGAACTCAACCTCAAAAATATATACTTTATATTTATATACTTTTTTGTATTAAAACCAATTTCCTATGCTCATTCTTCAATGCACTGAATTAATTTTCTATGAAACTTTTTTTCATAGTCATTTCACTTGAATTTCTGTAAACAGAAAATGACCATGTCATGTTTAATCTCATAGGAATTGTGTGAACAGTTTTTTTTTTACATAAATAACGTTGTATAACGACTATTTATTAAGTAATTAAACAATTTTTTTCTTTATATTATAATTGATAGAAAAAAAATCTAAATACTCGTTTTATGTTTGTTATTTTAATATTGCAAATAGAAAATAAAAGCTTTTAGTAAATTAGATACCACTTCTAAAGAAAACAAAAACGTTTATGTCATAAAACCAAATATATATATATATATATACAGGGTGATCCAAAAGTCACGCACCCGAAAAGAAATTGAATATCTCCATAACGGCTCTAGCAAACTGGCTGATTTTTTTACCACTAGTAAACGCATATTTACACTCCATATCCATAAAGACAAGGCGAGAGTGAACCCTTTTTTTAAGTGTCACTATTGACTTTAACCAAAAAATTTTAATTTTTCACAGATGGAAAAAAAAAACAATGTAATGGGTGGCGCAAAAGTCACTTTACCGAAAAAAATTTGAATATCTCCATTATGGCTCGAGCAAACTAGCTGATTTTTTTATCAATGCTAGAGGTATGTTCAAGATTTATATCCATAAAGACATGCCTAGAGAGATCCTTTGTTAAGTATGTTGTTTTTTTTCATCTGTAAAAAAAAAAGTGAAATTTTTTTGTTACGATTAATAGTGATACTTAACAAAGGACTTCTCTAGGCATGTCTTTCTGGATATAAAGCTTGAACATGCCTCTAACATTGATAAAAAAATCAGCTAGTTTGCTCTAGCCATAATAGAGATATTCAATTTTTTTTCGGGTGCGTGACTTTTGGGCCACTCTGTATATGCTTAATATTATTCAAAAAATTTGTACAAATATTTAATCATGTTTTATTTTTAATTCAATCTTCTGAACATATTAAATAAGGTTGCATATAAAATAAAATCGAATAGGATTACTATATACTTTTTAGAATAATCGAAATAATATGTTCATGTTCTTTTCTCTATTCTCTGGATTGTGAAATAGTCTATAGTATAATGGACTTTGACCTTTAATGTTCATCTCAATAATAGTAGTCAGACAGTCATCACTCTATCAATAATATTCACTGGAGAATAAAATGATCATTTCATAAATTGACACTTCATTTTAATAATAAGCAAGCAAAAAAAAATAGAATTAAAACTATACTGTAATCAAATACATGAATAACAAAATCTCATTTTTCGATGACAGTTATTGATAACAAAATTAACTTTGTTGCTATCTCACATCTGCTTTTTTATCTTCTGTTTATACGCAGACAATGTGATAGGTAAAAGACAACATTGTTGACTATTGAAGTGACAATAAAAAATGGGTGCAAATGATGAAAAACAAAATATGATTAGTCCTTTGCTTACAAGATCGACACATGCTGAAGATGGTATCATTGAGATGGAATCATCAACATCAACATCATATTCAAATCATAATCAATCAATTGTATGGTTGAAAAATACAAAAATCAATGAAACAGATGAAATATTATGTGATGAGAATGTATTCAAAACGATAACAATATCATTTGAAAAAATTAATTATACAATTGATCAAACAACAAATATTAAACACTGTTATAAGTGGCAACAAATATTTTCACATAACAAACAGACAACAAAGAAACAAATTCTCTTTGATCTTTCAGGCATCTTTACACCCGGAATGAATGCTATTTTAGGTATATTTGAACTTATAAATTATTTATATATAGGCTAAATCATTTGCTAGCAACGTGACTTTATAAAATTAAAACACATTTATCTCAGACAAAGGAAATTTCCTATAGCTAGTTTTTTTTGTATGTTATGTGTATGGTAAGTTATTCATTAGCAACATGCTACAGTACGAATCTACAAATAAAAAAAATTTTCTTGCACCCAAATGAGAAATTCAAAGCCAATTACAAACGATAAAATTCCTTCTTCAGAATCTCTAGATGATGGTAAAATAAACATTTTTGTTTCGAGACTTGATAGGATCTCTAGAAAACTTATTTTTTTAAGACGAAGTTTTTTGAAGTTCAATCTTGCCAAAAATTTCACCATAGATGCAGTTCGTACCGTAGAGTCTATCATGAAGTTTTCTAATTAATTAATTACTTTTAATTAATATTCAGTAGAAAGAGACAACATTTTTACATATGTTTATGCTAATAGAACTTATTCAGAAAAATAATTCTGGTAAAAAAGTAAAAAGTAAAATGACAGGTGAATATGTCTCATTTTGCGTAAAATGACCTATATATATATCTATATGATTGTGCAATATAGATGATCGATGATTATTATATTGATAGGACCTACAGGTTGTGGTAAATCGACTTTACTTGATATTCTTGCCGATCGAAAAGATGGTCGTGGCTTGACTGGAAATGTTCTTGTATCGGGAAAATCTCGTCCTGCTTCTTTCAAAGATACTGTTGGTTATGTTATTCAAGATGGTACACGATATCAATTTGTTTGTTATATTGATATGACTTTTCTTTTTTTTCTTAAGATATTATGAGTGGAACATTGACTGTTCGAGAAAATCTTATGTTTTCGGCTAATATTCGTCTACCACGTTCATTTTCTGCTCGAGAACGTATCGAACGAGTTAATCAAGTTATTAATGATTTAGATCTTCATTCATGTGTTAACACTTATATTGGAACTGATTTTATTAGAGGAGTATCTGGTGGAGAAAAAAAAAGAACAAGTATTGGAATGGAATTAATTCTTTCACCCAAAGTTCTTTTTCTAGATGAACCAACAACTGGTAAATCATTATTATTATTTAATACTCTTTCTTATTTCTAAAAATAGGACTTGATGCATCGACAGCACAAAATGTTATGGATTGTTTATATAATTTATCTCGGCAAGGACGTTAGTTATAAAGACAAAAAAAAAACCATTACAAAACCTTAAGAATAAATTATTTACTTTAGGTACAATTATTTTTTCTATTCATCAACCTCGTTATTCAATCTTCGAATTATTTGATACTGTTCTTTTTCTATCAGCTGGTCATATTGTTTATTTTGGTTCACCCATTGATGTTTTGCCTTACTTTACTTCTCAAGGTTTTAAATATAAAGAACATGCAAATCCAGCAGATTTTGTTCTTGATGTACTTATTGAATTCAATGGTCGTTCATCTAAACTACTTCAAGCAGCTTATCCACATTCAAATATGCATTCAAATGTTAAATCTTTAATAGAATCTGTAATGAATAAAAATAAAAATGAAGATTTATCTTTCTTAGATCATATTGTACATCGATCTCGTACAACTGAATTCTATTATCTTGCACAACGAACATTTCGAAATGCAATAAGAAATCCAGCATTGGCAGCTTCTCAAATTATGATTGCTATTTTATTAGCTCTTGTTACTGGATTACTTTTTTATAATATGAAAGCAACAGTTGATCCTGGTGTACGAAATCGTCTTGGAGCTATTTTCTTTTTATCTACACATCAAATATTATGTACAGCAAGTGCTTTAGAACCATTGATTAAAGAACGAGCATTATTTATTCATGTAAAAAAATTCTATTATAAACTAAAAGTAACATAAACTTTTTTATTTTATTTTAGGAATATGCTAGTGGTTATTATCGAGTATCAATATTTTTTTTATCTAAACTAGTTTTTGATCTAATTCCAATGCGTATTATTCCTTCATTTATCTTTTCTATAATTACTTATCCTATGAATGGTTTTCAACGTTCGATAGTTCGATTTCTTATCTTCTTAGTTACAATATTTGTATCATCAGTGTTTGGTTCAGCTATGTGTTTTTTTATTGCTGCTTGTATTCCTGTATTTGGTATGGGAAAAATATTTCTTGTTTTTTTTGTTGTTTTTATATATTATTATGTATTCTATTTTAGCTGTTGCTCTTAGTGTGACTATACTCATTTTTTCTATTATGATGGTTGTTAGTGGTTTTCTTGTGGATTTAGATAGTATTTTTTCTTTTCTTCGTTGGATTAAATGGATTAGTGCATTTCATTATTCTGGAAATTTATTAACTATTAATGAATTTCGAAATTTAACATTTTGTTTATCTAACAATACTCGAATATGTCCATTGCAAGGCGAACAAATTTTAACACAACGTCATATTGTACATGATACTGATTGGGATATGTGGAAAAATTTACTTGCCATAGCAATATTGGCTTTAGTATTTTTTTTTATGGCTTATGTTCAATTGTTACGCATAAAAAAAGTGAAATAAAATAGAACACTTTTATTCAATTTTTTTGTTTTGAGAGTAAATCATCAAAATGATATTTTAAGATTGTCCAAAAATATTTGAAGGAGTGTTCTTTACGTTGGAGATAGGTTTTTTCGAAAATTTTGGTCATGTATGCGATATTGTTTGTTGGAAAGAAAATATAATTCATAAGCGTTTTCATCTCTTTAGTCGTTTAGCAAGGTATGCACCAATTCCAATTCTTAGAATTAATCGGAATTGGTTACGGATGGAAAGTTATGTTACCAGTTACTGAATAACGAGGTAACAGAAAATTTTTGAATTTGATTCTTTCGACAAGATAAATCTATTTTTGTGAGAGTAAGGATATTTTATAAAGTTTGATCAAAGATCATTGGGGTAGAGGTAATGTGACCGAGAAATGAAATGTATAATTTCGAGAAACCGATTACAAATTCAAATGCCTTGACTCCAACAACATTTGACCAAACTTTATAAAAAAAAATCGATACTTTGACAAAATAGCCTATTCTGGACGAAAGAATCAAATACAAGAAATGTCCATTACTCGGTAACTCATAACGGTAACAGTTCGCCTCTAGAATTGGTCTTGATAGAATTGAGATTGAATTATTAACTTATACGAATACTTTTAGCAAAACCTCGAATCAATACACTGTTATTCAATTTTTGGCTACCATATTAACTCTTATGAAGATATCGAACAAAAGAAAAAAAACAAATACTACCATACATGAACAAAATTTAGACAAAGTCGTATTTCTTTTCAGCTTATATTAAAAATCAAATCCAAGACAACAGTCAATATGATCGACATTATTACAAATGTATTAATAAATCAATAAAAACAAAAGAAATATTTATGCATTTATTTTTGTCTAAAAGTCAAAAGAATGAATTGAATTCATCAGAAAGTGTCTATGGTCTTCTATTTCAGACCAAGAACAACTGCTCCAAGCCAAAGTATATGAGATACCAATGCTCTTGTAGTTCTTACTAATCCAGGACGATACGCCTTTTGATCTTTGTTATTCTTAGCATTGCGAAAAAGAATCTCTTCAGCAGATGGATCAGGTTCGCTCAATGGCATAAGTTCTTTACAATCGTCTATTGCATCAGTAACAATGTCAATAAACAATCCGAAGTGATCGCTTGGAAAGAGATAATTACCAAATTTAATAGGTTCATTTGCCCATATAGCACAAGGTATTATTACGAATGCAGGAAATCCATGTGAAAATAGAATTCTATCAAGCCGCATCTGTCTACGTTCTCCCGGAATATAATAAGGAATTAGATTATTTTTTACTGCATCAAATGTATAACCTTGATTTCCATCATTGAATGGATGAATATGAGAAAAATGTGTTTGAGCCCATGCATCGATGAATTTATTGTCGACAACTACACCATCTTCAAAATCGTAATGAAGATTGAGATCACCCATAATGACAAATGGAAGGCCAGTAGGCTGCAATACATTAACAATGTCACATATTTGTTGTGCTCGTAATTGAGCATTTTTCGGTGTCTGATATGCAGTAGTATGATGAGCACAAAAATAGACACAATTTTCTGAATTACTACCAAGTTGAACTTTTCCGATAACGGCTTCACGAGTACTTCCCGAGACAGAAATTGCGAATACTTCAATCAATGGTAGTTTACTTAGAATGATACATCCATGAGTAGAAAGAAGACCATTAGTGCAACTTTTGAGTTCATTAGTATCATCATGCTTATTTTCATCAAATGACTCAGTGATAAAATAGTTTTCACGAATGAATTGACACTGTTGTAACTGCTGTAATGAAGTAGTAGTGACTTCATTTAAACCAATAATAGTAGGATTGAGATTGGTGATACCATGACATAACCATTCGAACCTTTCAGCACTACGTATTACCATTTCAATGAACCATGGAAAACAATCTGCAAGTATATTAAATGTTGCCACACGAATAGTTCCATCAACTGTTGACGTCGTATTTTGTTGATTTGCGGTTGATGATTTATATTCGAATTCAAGATGAGAGGATGTAGTAATGGTTGCCCATTGTGTACCATCCCATCGAAAACTGCATAATTCACGTCGAGACATGTAAGTATATCTTTAATTTGATATTTACTTTTCTTTTTTTAAGAAAGAGAAAATAAAATAAAGAAATTACTTAAATATAATATCTATTGAGTTGAAACAATATTTTCAACTCTTCATTTTTGTATCTAATTGTCTTTTGCTTCGCGTTTTTTTCCAATACACTGTATATCAGTAATAAATTGCTGTCTGAGTCTTAATTTTTTCTCGATTGATCTACTTCTGATGCGGACTAAAGTTAAGGCCTTCTTTCATTCTCAAAAATCAATCTTGGACAAGGTAAATTCAAAACGGCATGAAATTTTCAGTCATATATCATAACTCTTTCGAGCGATATTCAATAAACAAGGATAAAAAATAGTTCATTTTGCAAGCTAAAATTCTCTATGAGGCTTCATTCTATATACTTATTGTTTTTTTTTCGTTTGAAAGAGCGTGTCAGGAAGCATGGAATAACAGAGCTAATTTTTTAAAACTCTTACTTTTTATGTGGAGAAAAGGAATGAAACGTTCAATATATCGAAAAACTCTTAAAAAGATGGCACTCTAATTATACAAAGTATTCTTTTATATAATAGTAAAAAAACGCTTAATTCGAAAAAAGAGATTCTGTTATATCCTGTATTTCTACATGCTCTTTCAAACAAAAAAGCCATTGTCCTCAATGAAGCTCCTTCGAGAATTTTGAGATGCGTGATTAAAAAAAGCATACTTTTCAAATAGAAAATGAGGGAAATTTTTGAAAGAAATGAGATGCCCGATAAAACAACGATGTCATTTATGAAAGATCAGATCTCGGACTATCTTACCATGCATTTATCTCAATTTTCATGTTTTTGATGAAAGTTAAGGTTCTTTTTTTGAGGGGAAGCTTCAATACAACATTTTACGACATTGTGACGACTTGGATTCGTCTTCGTGATCAATGCTCTTGTGCTCGCCACAGTGGATCATCTTTTAAAATTTTTGAATTTGTGAATCAATCAGAGAAAATCAATTTTTTACGTAAAATCGAATGAAGATATTAGGTTGGCAACTAAGTCTTTGCGGTTTTTTAAAATTGTTCTAGAACATTCGAGAAAGTTCTAGAAGTTTCCATACTAAGGGTATATAAAGGGAGTGTGAATATCTTTCGAACGATAATAAAGTCATCGATATGTACGCTGACCACGAACAGAAAATGAATCTTTCTCGTAGAGAAATTCATATACTTTTACTTCATGAATTCCGTCTGGGTCATAAAGCAACAGAAGCAGCCAACAACATTTGCAGCACGATGGGTGAGGATGTACTCTCTATTCGTATGGCACAACATTAGTTCAATCGGTTTAAGAATGGTAACTTAGAACTCGACGATTTGCCTCGACCCGGTAGACCACTGGAGGTGGATGTGGACCTCCTACAGCAGCTTATCGAACAAGATCCTCGATTGACTTCACGGTGTTTAGCAGATCAGCTGGGGTGCTCCCATACTGCGGTGGAAAAACATTTGCACGGATTAGGCAAAACATGGAGATATGGAGTTTGGATACCCCACGAATTATCACCATATCAGCTGCAATACAGGGTTGATGCATGTATGGATTTAATCACATCTCACCGCAACTATCAATGGCTACGCAATCTTATCACTGGTGATGAGAAGTGGGTATTGTATGTTAACCACACGCATAGACGCCAATGGCTAAGTCCTGGTCAAACAGGCGTAGCAACACCTAAGGCTGACCTACACACTAAGAAGGTGATGCTGAGCGTCTGGTGGGGTGTCAATGGGATTATTCACTGGGAAGTTCTACCAAATGGTTGCACCATCACTGCTGATCTATACTGTCAACAATTGGATCGGATTGCCGAAAAACTCAAGGGAAAGCAGGATCGAATTTACTATTTGCTTGATAATGCAAGACCACATGTTGCAAAGTCGACCTGTGAAAAATTATTGAAATTCGGATGGATTACCATTCCTCATCCACCTTATTCTCCTGACTTGGCTCCAACGGACTACCATTTGTTTCGTTCTCTCTCTCATCATTTGGCTGAGAAAAAATTCGACAACGAGAACGACCTAAAAATGGATATCGCCAACTTCTTTGATCAAAAATCCAAGGACTTCTACGAACGCGGGATCCTGTCTTTACCAGAACGTTGGCGACAAGTCATAGATACTAGTGGTACATATATAACTGAAAGCTAGTTGTACTTTTGAAGTTCAAAAATAAAATTAAAATTTTTGAAAAAAACGCAAAGACTTAGTTGCCAACCTAATATTTAACTCTGAATAGCGCAACACGTCAGAAAGTCATACTCAACTGTTCTTTATGAAGATGATGATGATTGCCTGCGTGTTTCAAGATTCATGTTTTCATCATATTACCAACTGCACTATATTTCTACTTTTTGTGCAATAACTACGTATACGAGCACTTTATTATTTTTTTTTCTTTCTCTAATAAAATTGATTCGTATGAGTCAACGTGTATATGAATAAAAAAAGAAAACGTACAGATGTCGCAAAAAGAAGGATTTAATCAAACATACAATTTCATCATTTTGTTTAGTCAAATACTTTCAAATATAAATGTTTATCTGTATATAAAAATTGGTTTTTCATCGAAAGACAATAATATCATCAATTTAGACTACTTTTACAAATTTTTTAAGATGAAAAAATTATTTATACGACTTATTTTTAAAATCGAATCGGTTACAAGATTAAGTTTTATTGTAGAAGTCCGGATGTTATTCCTATTCAATATTATATTATAGAAAAATTAGTAAAATTATGTATTGAACATACAAAAAAGTCAAACACCCATTGAAAAAGTTCATAATTGAATGTGAATGTAAAGGCAACTATATAACAAAAATATATAATGTGGTGAGTTTATTTTATGTTTATTTTTATAGGAATGTAACACTACCAATACTATTTGATATTAGTAGATATAAGTAGTTACGTGGTAACGAAAACCAAAAACTTTGAAAACTTCATTTCTTTTTCGTCAGAAGAAGCCTACTTTTCGAAAATAATGATTTCTGATAAAGTCGGACTGAGAGCTTTCGAAGTCGAGAAATCTGAATCTATGATAGATTTCTCAATATATTTGAGTTTCAATCTTGTCGTCAAACTCCTTATAGATTCGAATTCTTTGATCCTGAAAATCTTTGATCAAACTTCATTATGAAAATCATTATTTGTGTAAAATAGACTTTTCCTGACAAGAAAATCAAACTTGCAAATTTTTTGTTATCCGTTACGAGATAATTGACTAACCCTACTAGTCACAATCTCAACATCAATACCAACAATAACAAATATCTAATGTCGTATTGATAGTGTTACATTCCTAGTTATTTAGGTGAAATGCAAAATCGATGGATAAATTGATAGAGCAATCTCATATAACATCTGTGCTATATAATGTATTCCATCGACACTTTTATCACCAAATGGCTTTTCAATGAACAATAATCGACTTAATCTATAGTACCAACGTATAGGACTCATATAAAATTGTACAATATCATGATTTTTAACATTTGAAAAACAACTAGCATCAATATTATTCACTAATAATGTGCCTAAAACAAAACAAAACAAAACAAAGTTATGAGTTTTATTCAGTGAAATAAATTTATTCATACCAGTCATAGTTAATGGAGCATAGTATCCATTCTTTATTTCCATTTTTATATCGATGACAGGAGATGAATAAATTTGTCCATTTGTGATAACACGAAGAATATCACCATGTTTGATATCTTTGATTGGTATGTAACTTATATCTCCATCATTATTAATCATTCCTATCAAATGATGGCTAGTAAGACTTACTTTATGTTCAGATCCAGTTATAATAGTATAAAACATTACTATACAAAAGAAAAAAAAACAATTCGGGATTATATAATAGTATAGATAATAAAATAACCTGATGAATGTTGATTCTGATCAAGCATCATTATCATTTCAGTAGAAACAATCTTAGTTCCATCAATAGTAAGTAATTCATCACCAATTTGAAGTTTTTCGATTGGAATTTGTTGTAGATTGATTAATGTAACTAATGTGTCTGATGAGAAACAACCAGTAGCTGTTGATATGGTCACTAAAATTATTTGTATTATAGATAAAAGAAAATCTCTAATGAATAGTATATCATAATGGATAAAACTCATTTGAACAAACAAATAAACAATTAACGTTTTTTTTTCTAATTATTATCCATAATATTCTCAACTGTTGAAACTTAAGACTTTGATATAGATGACATGAAATAAAAATGTACCATGGTTATTATTCAAGAAGCGTGCATTGTTAGTATTATTTCTAGTTGTATTGTTGTCTGTATTGAGTGACGGAGTCGATGTAGTAGAGCCATGAACATTGAAGATCATTAGTAATGTTGTGAAGCAGAGTAGAAACATTTTATTCATAGGGATTGATTTTTTTTCTAATCAAAACTAAAATGAAAACTAAAGTTTCTTGACACATTATAAATGTCTCTTTAAAAAATTGTATTAAGAGAAACTGTTGGGGTGGAAGAAAAGAATAAAGTAACTAAGGAGAATAATGGAATGTTATACATGATTAGTTGTAGCTTACTAGAGTGTACAAAAAAAAACATTAAAAAATCATGAGCAAAGCCACTGAAAATAATGTTTAATTTTCTTTTTCTTCTTCCTTGGAAAAAATTTTTGATTGTTTGTTTTGAATCATTATGACGCTGTGTCAACTGCTTTTTCAATACTTCCTAGCAAGGTAGTAACATGTTTCAATCGATGAACAAGCATGATGAATTCTTCCAACTATTCAGAATCAATATTTGCAGCATGTAGTTACTAGAGGGGTGTCCAAGGACTGAGGAATAGGAATTCCTACTCAGTTCCCTGGCATTTCCTTGAATGCTAAAATTAAAAAAATACAATATCTACGGTATTTATTACTCTTACACTCGTTTTCATCAAGAATTTTGTGCACATGAACGTATGAGTACGAAAATTATTGCAAAAAAAGCATTATCTTGACTTTCATGAATGAGGGAACTGTGATGGAAATAATGGTCAATTCCCATTTCCCCAAGGAATTATCATAGCTACACTGACAATTCCTCCACAAATTAGGAATTCCTATTTCTCAGTCCTTGGACACTGCTGACTTTTTCATAGCTCGAGTCCGTCGAAAATTTCGTTTATGAAGACTTTTTTTCTCAATAGAATTCTAAGATCACTGTGGTGATTAATAATCTTTTCGGAAGCAAATGATCAGAGTTATAATAATTTCGATTAGATCAGATTGTTGAAATTGAATTGAAAGCAGTATGAGATAACTTGAATTGCTTATTGCGTCAAATGAACAAACAAAAGATGTTGGAAGGTATTTGAATTCAGTAATGATCATTCCTTGTCAGTGACTCTTTTTATTAGAATAAACCCATGAAAAGTATATCATTTTTCTGGGCGAGAAGTGTTTTTTCAATTTTCACTACGCAGAGAGATAGAACACAGTCGAAATGGTCTGTATGCGGGAACAAAAAAAAATGCTGGCTACCTAAACTTTGAAGGTTTAGCTTATTCTTTAGCAACAACTTGACATTTTCATATAACTGCCGAACTTGTAGTAGCTACTATAAGTTCGGCAATGATAAGTAAACGCCGAGTTGCTCCTACAGAATGCACTTGCTCTCCATAAATCAGTCATCAAGATTTTTTTATTGCCATACACAGACCAATGTTGACTACGTGCTACCTTATTGGTTGATCAAAATCGAAAAAAAGCTTCCGCTCAGAAAAATAGTGCAAAAGTTATAGCGTCATTATTTTTCCAGAAAATGGTTCATTTTCTATGAATCCATTCATTAATCAAAATTGAAGAGTTGGATAAACAATTATGTATGGCTCCTCCTATCCATGTCAGTTGATTTTCGGCATATTTTTTCTGTCAATCAATATCCTAATATTAAATAACATAGTTGATTCAATGAAGAAAGCTGTATGTGTTATTCATATAGCTGATGTACCATCGTGAATACAAAAGTACATTGTAACTTATATTTTCTGTAGAGAGAAAAATAGTTTTTCGATTTGATCATACATCCTCATCCTTAAGCCTAATAAAACTGGAAAAGTATATTTGTTTCTTGAGAAAATATAAGTTATAATATACATTTGTATTCACAGTAGAGTACCAGATATAGAAGTACCAAGAAAAACGTGATAAAAACACCGAGGCAAACAACTCTAGAAATAACTTGGCTCGTTCAGTCTAGCGATCTTTGTGTATCAGTCTTTCGATCCAGAGGAAAAAATCTCCTTGGATCAAGCGTGACTGTTGTGCCAGATTGAGCAGCTCATTTTGAACTTTGGTGACTAAATATAGCAATACTTGAAACCGAGAGAAAGGAATAATCCAGTAAAAATAGTTGGAAAAAAAATATTGTTATTATAATGACGTAGTGTACAACGTCAAAAAAAAACTTCCCCACCAATGGTTGGTTGTTTTTTTAACTTCACATCCGATTCATTGTTTAGATTGACGGGAAAAAAAGAAAAGTTTGGACGAAGACTGCAAAAAAATTTTTTTCCATTAACTATATGGTATTTGCATTTTATATTAGTCATACACTTCATCCCTTTCAGTAGTTCGATGAAAACAAACATCGAGATGGTGTTACTATTTGAGTCGCTTGGTTTTATTTCAATCACATTAGTTTTATGCAGTATTTTTTTAACCATTATTTTCAAATTTGAGATTTATTTCTTAAGTTTTAACTTTAGTAGAGAAGTTTCCATATTTAGTTTCAGTTCATCAAATACTAACATGACAAGTTGCACAAATCAGATCTATATCTTAGAAAAGGAATAATGTCATGGACAATCTAATACAATTTCAATTATTAACTTCAAATTGACTATATTGTTTTGATTTTATCTGTAAAATTTTCACTAGTATCATCTTTGTTAAAGAAATACGTATCATTTATATTTTAAAGATTGTTGTGACGAACAATGAGTCATTCTACTAGAAAAAAATACTCCATTTCAGATCATTGACAATTTCTTTTTCGAATGATTACCTAGTGTGTATTTAGGAAGAGAAAAAATCAACAAAATATTCCTACTTGGTATTATTTGTAAATAATAAAGAAAAAATTCTTTCTTTCCTCTCTTTCTTAATATTTATAATAATATATTTTAGATCACAAAGCAAATAACATTAATTTATCGGAGTTTGTATCAGTTTGAAACGTTTATTTGGAGAACATAAACGTATTGTTTCTGTTTATGAGATCAATTTTTCAGTAGGCCAACGTATCTCTCAACTAATGAGTAGCCGACCATGTCATTATTCGTCAGGCTTTAATGGATGTAACTATTATTATTCAAATAGTTCAATATTTAACGCTGGTGCCATTGTTGGTATTGTAATCGGATCTTTAGTGGGCATTGCTCTCATCATTCTTCTTGTGGTTATAAGTTGCAAGTTGTGGAAGAAGAATCAATCATCGCATCAGCATCGTCATATGGATGTCTATAGTGTACCAACGAATATGTATCATGATCGGGAGTCAACACCAAGATCTAGCATGTACTTATCGTCCAAACTACCTGGCTCTTCTGAAAGAGCTCCACATAATACTTTCTATGACAATGCTTGAACTTTGCATTAAATAATAAAGAATTTCTCAAAGAAAAGATAAAGAATATATTCTTAATTGATTTCATAATAATAGGAATATGTTGAATAAAATTTAATTAAAACTGAGAATAGGATAGTAGTGAAATAATGAATGTTTACCTTTTTAAGATACATTACAATATAATATTTGAAAAATTTCAATACGAAAAATGATATTATCATTTGAACAAAAAACAAGAATTTCTTTTCTACATTTTCAGACGTTTGCAAGAAAGTCAATAAAATATCACAGATATTAATATAAATATCTATGTTTGTCTATAAAATGTAGACATAGTTTAACTGTCTGGTTGTATACTACATCATTTGTAATTATGTTTCACAAATACTTAAAAACTCATATTCTAAACAAATGAATGAGAACGAAATGAAAAGTTTTATATTATCGTTTGAATTGATTCTAACAATCATATCAATGCGAGATAACCATGATTGAGAACCAGCATCTATACATTTTGTATATGTGTACGATCATGATTTAAAGTAGCGTCCTATGCGAGTACGACTTTTCACAGCCAGAGTGTGGGTGCGACCGTTTGCGAAGAGAATACCCACACCCACACCTGCAGAGATATTTCAATTTTTGTATTGTCGTGCTATTTATGATCCATCCTGTATATAAAAATATTTTAGAGGTGGACATGTAGATATTTATACTTTTCTATAAATTCTTCCAAAATATTAATAACTATTTGTAGTTATTCCATTGTTTTATTTTGTATCTCGATCTTTTCTAAGCCATGTAATAAGATCAAGCGTTGTAGAAGATGTTTTCATACGATCGTCTTCAAAAGTTATTGATAATATTACAATATGAATTGAAATATCATTAATAAATTTCAAATCTTTAATTAGTTGATGAATATTTGATTCGTTTTGTACGCTTGTTCTATGCATCGAAAGTTCTCCATCTGATGTACATGCAAGCTAAAAATTTTCATCAAGTGCATACGTACAATAATCACAAATGATACTTTTTTGCCATAGAGAAAATGCTTCACTTTTTTTTTCATTTTTGATAACATTATCAATCGATAATCATTGAGTTTTTTGACATAAAATATAATCAATTTTATCATCCATCATTCCATAGATTGTTGAAAAAAAAAGGCTTGATCAAATAAAAGTAATGATTGAAATAGTTGTCTTGATGCTATTGCAGTAGCTAAAGTTAATGCATATTTACCTAGAGAATGACCGATACCAATAAGATTATTGTTAGAAAGATCAAGTAATTCGATAAAATGATAAAGATCTTCGCCAAGCCATCGAATATTCTATGGTAGATGATGTTTTTGTGATCGAGCATAACCATGAGAGTCTAAAGTAATAACATGAAACCCCTTTGAAACTTCCTTTACAATACAATCGTATGATCGACCATGAAATGAAATATCATGACAAATAAGTAGAGTTGGTTGATGTCCTTTTCATTGCTAATAATGAAGTTGATGTGAATCTTGCTTAATTTCACTATTTTCTCGAACAATTGGACGATTCCGTAAAGTAATAAAATGACTAGTAGAAGTAGATACACCATTCGTCAGAAAATACAAGAAAACATTTAATCACAAACAAAAGAAAACCTAAAAGTCAAAATTTCGGTTTGAAGCTGCCGTTGCTGTGATAGTATTTTTGGAACACCTCTCGCACCACTGACGCCATTGTGCGGACAGCAATGCCGCCATAGATATGTCTGGTCTACATGGCCAAATGAAGGAGCCAGAATTCAGGTATTTACTGACTCCTCGTGGAAAACAGTTAATCTGAAGCTACATTGTAGCCAAAACATTGTTGCATTCAGGTAGGCTGTCGTCAGCTCTTCTCTATTCAGACTCGAAGCTAAATAGAAACTGGATCTAAAATCAAATATGGCGATGATTAAAATTACTGTGATTATAATGTTGATAGACAGACATTTGATCGAAAATGGATTCAATGAAATTTTGAATACTCGACTATTTAATTACCAAAAACGCATGTAAATCCATCTGAACTACTCAAAAACTATTGACATTCTTCTTTTGATTAGATTTTTGAAAAACTATATATGTCATATATTGATAGAGAATAGATAACAAAATCAAATAAAAGTAATAATTGTCTTGATGCTATTATAATAACTAAGGTTAATGTGTATCTACCTGTAGAATAGCTAATGTCAATAAGATTATTTTACAGAAGATCATTTATTTCTATATAACAAAGAAAAGGCTGTTAACGCAATCCCTTGTGGGATTAAAAATGTGCAACACGATGGACCTATTGTTACTAATTAAATGAACATCGTTTTGTTCCATTTCTTCAAGATAGATTTCTACCTTACTGTTTATTTTATGCTTCAAAACTACAGTGTCTCTGTCACGATCTCACGGTCTGTGAGGAGGAAGGGGGGGGGGGTGCAAATTTCTTCCCCTAAACACTTCAATACTCCTTTCAGATCGAGTTTCACAAAAAAAAAACATCTTCATTAAACTATAAAACTATAAGAAAAATGATATTCTTATGATTGATTATGATAATAAAAGTCTAAAGCAATAATACGAAAAATATATATAAGTTCATTGATAATATTGTTTATTGCATCGATCATGAAATGAACCATTATAACAAATGAAAAATGAAACAATTCGTTTTTTATCTAAAAACAAAGAAAATTGTTAAGCAAATATTAATTATGGAAGAATAGGATTAAGATCTAATAAAGCATATTGATTAAACTCATTTATAAATCGATTATTTGTTAAATATTCTTTATCTAACAAAACTCCTTCATGTGTTACTGTTCGTCCATTTCCTCCAAATAATTCATTAAGACCAATTTGATTATGTAAAAAAGCTCTAACTTGTAACAATGTTGGGTGATTTTTTAAACTTAAAAAACGATTTATATGCATATATTCATCTGAATCAGGTCCTAAATAATAATTTTTAATAATTATTCCTTCAGGATCAATTTCTTGAAATGTCATCTCCTTTAATTGTTTAGAATAACGAAACCACATATTTGAATCAATTTCTGGATAAGATTTTATTAGTAATTCAAATATATTATCCCATGTTGCTAATTTAACTTCATCGGATGAAGCAGAAAAAATAATTAATTTAAATTTTTTATTCGCATTTAATTGATAACGAATCCATTCAACAGTATGTCCTAAATTAATTAACATATCTAAATGAGACATTCCAAGTAAATTACAAAGTGTTTCATGATCAAATACCCATGAAAGACGTTTATTAGGATCTGGTGATAGACGAGAAAAATCATCTTCATTTATACCTCGTGTTATACGACCATAAAGACCAGTTAAATTACAATTATATGGTACATAATTCATACCATTAATAAATGCTTGAATATATTCATTCATTTTGTTCTGAAAAAACAAAAACAAAATAGCAAATATAAAATATTTCTTTCTTTGTTTTTTTTTATAGTTCATATATACTATTTGAGTCAATTTTTAAATATATCTGAAAATTTCAATGATGATCATTCAAGTTTTTCTTGAATAAATCATTTGAATTAATATTAATCATTTAAAACTATGAGACTTTCATAAATTTAGAAAATTTTCTTCATACTAATTTTCTGTTTTAGTGATGGATCTTTAGAAAGTTAAAATGCAATGTTTGTTTAGTTGAGAATTAGATGTTATTAGGATTAGAAAAATATGTCAAATACTTTTATTTTATATTTTTAGAATGATCACAAGAGCTCATAATGTGTATTAGTATTGGTTTTTCTTCAAAAAATAAATATTTTTAAAGATTTCAATTATTTGATTTAAGTTATGTCAGCATAGAATTCTACATAGATCTCTGATTCAATCATTCTCTTGAAGCTAGGCAATCTCAAATCAGACAAAACAAAGTTGTAGATTGATTACTAATTAATATTGACGTTCGACTAAGAAAGAAATTCCTAATTAGAGAAAATAGTAGCACGAACGGATCATCAAATATGTTTGTCATGGTTTTTTTTCTCCTAAATTGTCAATGAAAAACATGGTCTTTTTAAGTACGTAATCTATTTATCGAAATATACACTGGATTATTTTTCTCACTGAAATCTGAAAAATAATTTTTTCTAGTGTCCACAGTCCATACTTCACCTAGGCTCCATGACGATATGAGAGAGTTCTCGAAAGATGTCGTCAGTGGTAATTTGACCGTTGAAGTGTTGAACATGTGACACCTCTTCAATCGTGAGAACTTTTATCTTTTTCCAACAGAGCTGAAATTATCTTTTTGCATGCTATTAGAAGTAAGGTATTGTCTCTTTGCAATCAGTTGCCATACTACACAAAAAGTTGGCCGCTTCTGGTCACCACTGCTTTAACGAGTTATCCAATTCCAAGTTTGATCCGTTTAGTTGATGTTCTCGAATAGAATTCGGTGAGCTCTACGCAATGGTTATATTGGCTTTATCTAATTATATGAGTCGATTTCGTTCACATAAGTGAACCTTTACGCGGACAGATCCTATTCAGAGTAATCAGAAAAGTGCAGATGATCTAAAAGAATACTTAGTCATCGATTGAAAAATGTTACTACCTTGCTAGGAAGTATTGAAAAAGTACTCGACACAGCGTCATAATGATTCAAAACAAACAATCAAAAATTTTTTCCAAGGAAGAAGAAAAAGAAAATTAAACATTATTTTCAGTGGCTTTGCTCATGATTTTTTATTGTTTTTTTTTTTGTACACTCTAGTAAGCTACAACTAATCATGTATAACATTCCATTATTCTCCTTAGTTACTTTATTCTTTTCTTCCACCCCAACAGTTTCTCTTAATACAATTTTTTAAAGAGACATTTATAATGTGTCAAGAAACTTTAGTTTTCATTTTAGTTTTGATTAGAAAAAAAAATCGATCCCTATGAATAAAATGTTTCTACTCTGCTTCACAACATTACTAATGATCTTCAATGTTCATGGGTCTACTACATCGACTCCGTCACTCAATACAGACAATAATACAACTAGAAATAATACTAACAATGCACGCTTCTTGAATAATAACCAAGGTACATTTTTATTTCATGTCATCTATATCAAAGTCTTAACTTTAAACAGTTGAGAATATTATGGATAATAATTAGAAAAAAAAACGTTAAT